TGATTTTTAATAATCATTTCCTGTTAAATAAATAAATCAAATCATTAATAGAGACCAGACAAAGTGACTAATTTGGAACTTCTACATCATGATTGCTTCCCGGCTGAAAACTCACAGAGCGCAACRAGCATTGATCATTTGCAGAACAATAAATCAGAGCTATTGGCAAATGTGTTATAAAGATAATATAGGGTTGAATGCGTATGGTGTCTGTTTACAGTGGAATACCTGTGGGTTCATCRTTATTTTTGTCAGTGTTCATAAAAGACAACTCACCCATAAAACCGCAGCATTATTAGTGATGTAGAATGAAATTGAATAATCCTTTATTTATCCCTCAGTGGGGGCATTTTGCAGCAAAGTGATAGCATGTTTAAACAAGAAAAATACAGTTGTGACATAAATAATGAGTGAAAAAAACTAAACAAAAACTACAGTGAATAAATGGAAAACCTGAAATAAACAAGTGCRTTGAAATAAAGTCAGAAACAGAAGCATCCGTCTTTAAATCCAGTTGTGAATTAGGTTTACAGTTTTATTTTTGTTGGACACATCTGAGTAAAACAGCAATTATAATTAAAAAARGACAAACATTTATTTGGAGGATCCTGTTTTTCTCCTCTTTGAGGAGTTTGACTAATCACTTGGCCAAACTTAAACACTTTACTGCTTTCACAGGGTTCTAAAATTTAAAAGCTGTTTTGAAGAGAAGCCGTTTTTTTTTTCTGCTGAACGTAGATTTTTGATAATCAGGAGTAAATAAGGTGAGCAAATGTTGTCAGTTCCCATAAAGCAGATTGATCGAGCAGCAATCAGTGGGCTCGTCCAGAAGGTGGGTCAGTAGAAGTATTTAACTAGTAGTCAATCATTATTTCTCTCTGTTTTTAAGTTTGTGCTGCTTCAACAATATTTTATTGGAAAAAGAAGAACTCCAAAGACACTTGATCATTGCTCATGAAAACCAGACTGAAAAACAAAGAAAGTATTAATTAGTGAACAAAAATCCACTCTATATGTTTTGTCATATTGATGATTAACTTGTCCTTTAAATTAAAAACGTGTTATACCATGTGTTAGCTTACAGGACCTGCAGAACTGACTGAAAATAGGTTCAACTTAGAAGAAGTTTCACAAAAGCTGCGTTTCTTTGAATGTCTGGCTTTGTCCTTACAGCACTCCACCTCCCTGCTTATTTTGAACATGTTTTTTACTCACTTCTATTTTGTTTATTTATTTATTTATTTATTTATTTATTTATTTGTTTGTTTGTTTGTTTGAATTAATTAGCAGAGAGACTCATATTTTCACTTAAAATATCTTCTCAGAGAGTCTGTGCTTGCCTCATTTTCCCATATTTTGTTCATCTATGCAGACTATGGTCAGCCTAATGTAGGTCACTTAAGAAAACTCAAGCTTATGGATATTTGCGGATTCTGCTAAGTGCTTTGTTTACATTCTACGCATACCCATATTTAAAAAACTGCAGTTCAATATATTTGGAAAGCTATTGGAGTACTCTTTAAAACTGAACTCATGTATTCAGTCCAGGATTACCTGCTTTACTTTTTGCAATTTGCCAGTGAGTTTCTTTAATATCAGGAGTTCCAGAGATGCTTATTCKTTTATTTAAATGTGCATCTTGTGGTATAGGCTGCTAATTTAATCTGAACCTGTCCTCATTATTTAGCGTGGGTCAAACATGCTTTAGTAATGAGGTGGAGCAACACGTTGCCCTGTTAACTTGAATAATGAAATTACCAGCAGTCACAGAGATGCTCATTCATTTGAGATGTTCATCATTAGAGGCTGAGAGCAGAGCGGGGTGTTAAGTGCAGCACTGTTGTGTGCTTTTTGCCTCATCCTGCTTTCTTTTTTTTTTACTTCCACCCATTTCTGGCCGCTGCTCTCTGCTCCCGTCTGTGATGAGAATACTGAGTAAGATGCTATTTAATTTCAGAAAGGGGGCCGCTGACGGTCTCTGCGAGCCAAGCAGCAGTGAAAAGCCCACAATTCACTCTTGTTTAGCTGGTGTATGTCCCCAAGCAAATGAAGACATCTTTTTAACTTAACATATGTTGGGCTGATTGGTATGCAGGATGAGCCTGTTGGACAGCTAACAAATTGTCTCCCTTCAGAAAATACAGTCAATACTTTGTGCTGATTTTCAGAACAATGCTGCTGCACAGATTGTTTACCATCCCTGCAGGATATTTGCAATTTGAGACTTGAGCGGCCTCACCTTGGTCATTTACATCAGAATTTGTGAAGTGAATGCCTTCATTGTTAAGATATTTATGATACTATATACTGAGAACTTGAATTATTGCAATATTTCCTTTTGTAGAATGTGAAAACAATCTATATATTTTTTCTTTACGCTGCATTATTTTCTGATGCATTTTTCTGCTTTTTCCTGCAGGTTTCAACTTGTTTACAAAGACAGTTAAAAACTCTCCTGAGTGGGGAAAACAAGCCTCATGAGTCGGCCTCGTGGATTGCATCGACATAATGGATTTGACTAAAATGGGTATGATCCAGCTCCAGAACCCCAACCATCCCACTGCCCTCCTGCAGAAGGCCAACCAGATGCGTCTGGCTGGGACTCTGTGTGATGTTGTCATCATGGTCGACAGCCAGGAGTTTCACGCTCACCGGACTGTGCTAGCCTGCACCAGCAAAATGTTTGAAATCCTCTTCCACCGCAGTAGCCAGCATTATACCCTGGACTTTCTTTCACCAAAGACTTTTCAACAAATTTTGGAGTATGCTTACACTGCCACGCTCCAGGCCAAGGTGGAGGACTTGGACGATCTCCTGTACGCAGCGGAGATCTTAGAGATTGAGTACTTGGAAGAGCAATGCCTCAAAATCCTGGAAACGATCCAGTCCTCAGATGAGAACGACGTGGAGGCCAGCGCTAATGATGGCAGCACAGAGGAAGACGAGGAGCGCAAAGGCCAAAACGGAGCCAAAATCTCTAAAAAGCATTCCATGGAGAGTCCCTTTCTGTCGGGTGCCCAACAAGTCTCCAACATGACCGGCATAGTCGAGCAGAGTCCCTCCGTCTCCACCTCCTTCAATATCTCCAGCCTGAGTCCCACCAAAGCTGCTGTGGACAGTCTGATGAGCATCGGTCAGACTCTGCTTCAGCAGGGCTTTGGGGGTGCCAACCCCCACCACCTAATGACTGAGATCAAGACCGAAACGATGCAGGTGGATATGGGCGGGAACGGCCACGACAGTCCTCAGAACATGGAGTCCGGCGCCTCCAGCAACGGGGAGCGAAGTGGCGAGGACAGAAACCGAGACGGTCCCGGCACGCCGACCAGGAGCAGCGTGATCACCAGCGCTCGAGAACTGCACTACGTTCGCGATGATAGCATGGGCGACCAGCAAGCTGAGGTGAGCCAGATGGGGCTGGAAGCGATGGCGGGGATGACTGAGAAACACCTGGCTTCACTATACTCCTTACCTGTCAATCATAAATCCGATGGCATGATGTCGATGCCGGTGTCCATGGCTTCCGCTCTCCCCATCTCCCCAGCCCTGGCTATGTCTATGGACTTCAGTACGTATGGCGGACTCCTGCCTCAGAGCTTCATTCAGAGAGAATTCTTCAGCAAGCTGGGCGAGCTGGCAGTGGGCATGAAACCAGATGGCAGGAACCAGCATGAGCGCTGCAACGTTTGTGGTGCCGAGTTACCAGATAATGAAGCTGTGGAGCAGCACAGGTAAGCCAAGAAACCTCTACAGTCTTGTATTGTCTTGAAATTTACAACTAGTTTCAACAATGTGCCACTTTTGTTGATTTGTTTATGATATTTCCACTGCTAAATTGAAGTGGGTTTGGTGAAGAACTTTCAAACTATTGCTTCCTAAACTTTAAGCACAACATCTTTGTTTAAAACTTTGGCATTGATTAAGAGTCAATAATGTTAGTTCTTAAAGGGATCCCCGATTAGTTGTAACATTAGACTTTATTTGATAAACATATATTTTAACTGTACTATAAAGACTGTAAAATACTTTAGTCTGTTTAGTTTTGTAAAATTTTAAAAATATATTTTAGCATGGACGGAGCCATTTTATTTACACACAAAGCATTCTGGGTAAATGATGACGTGGATAGGTCCTCGGTGCGAGGCTGCTAGCGAGCTATATCCACCCTGAAGGTTAATCTTGGACAATATCTGATGATCGACTCTTTTAAATGAAACCAGAGAGCGTTGACAGAGAGGAGAAGGTAGAAATGACTCAGCCTGGAACTGAAAATATGGATGGAGGACAACAGAGCTGCTTCATGGAAGAACAACCTCAGCTTAGCCTGTTAGCTTTTGCACTAGTGCTGATGCTATATTGCCTTATATGTATTAGCTCAGTGCTAGTGCAACAAACAAGCTAAACTGAGGTCCTCGCTCTCTGGTTTCATTTAAAAGAGTCGATCATCAGATATCGTMCAAGATTAACCTTCAGGGTGGATATAGCTCGCTCACASAGAGGACATATCCATGTCATCATTTACCCAGAATGCTTTGTGTGTAAATAAAATGGCCCCATCTGTGTAATATAGTTTTAAGCTTTTAGTTTWAAAATGATAAAAACTAAACAGCCTACAGTATTTTTACAGTCTTTATTTTACAGTTAAAATATATGTTTATCAAATAAAATTTAATGTTACAACTAATCGGGGATCCCTTTTAAAATATCCCATGAACCACTGGACACATTTTAATGAAACAACCAGAAGTAAATCCTTCTTTATACATCTGGAATTGATTACCTTTTGGAGTCAATTCAGTTCAAGACGGCTGCCGCAGCTAGTGWTTGGAATTGGCTAACACAAAAATGGCTGCAACGCAGTTGGTTGTGCAAACGATGAGCTAAAATTCAACGTGCTACTAGCTGAGAGTCATTTCCAACACACACATGTAGTCATTGCATGAGCCTGCGCGTAACATTATTTTCACGGTTTAACCAAAACGGCTGCATCTCTGTCTAAAACTGTAGAATTTAAGGAATGTGGGGCTTTTAATTCAGACATCATTAATTTGATACATCATTGGTTTTGACAACTTTCTAAACAGAATCTTACATTTGAAGAATGCATGTCCTTTTTTTTAGTTTTGTGTATCTGACAGCTCAGGCCAGAAGATTCACTCCTTCAGTAAGTTCCAAACCTGCTCTGGTGACTGCCGTAGCAGTGCTGTCTTAACACTGTCCAAGACCATTAGTCACACCTTCCAGTTTGTGGGCAGCAGCCATCACACACACTTACCAACGTGGAACCCCCTCATGCAGGACCTGACTCCCTTCTCCTTTTCCCTAACTGCACAAGGGGGTCCTTTATTGGTTTGATAATTGGAGTAGACGGTCAGCTCAGGAAATGAGTGCTGAACCTGGGCCCTGAGACAAGAAGGTTGTTCTAGGACAGGGGCGKGGCAGTGCACAATAAATCAACCAGGACTATTTTAGTCTGTAGATGTAAATAAACTCAAGRCCAGGTCATTTCAAAAATAAAATAACACATGGAAAGCATAATAAAATAATAATAAAAAATCCCTAATTGTACGTATTGCAGAGAAAAAAATATTTTAGACTGAATCAATCAGAATTCAGATATCTTAGTCTTCCATCACTTCTTTGTACATTTTGCACGTTTAAATGTTTGTTTCTCACACAACAAAGTTTGCTTAAATCAATAGGAATGCAAAGTGGTTAAAGTTCGCTTGAGGATTTTAAACTCTGTTGACCTCTTCAAACCAGGCCACCTTTTTAAAAGTAGCTGTTTAAATATGCCTTATGTATTTTATTTAAAAATAATAGATATTCCAGAATAACTGCTCTTCATGACAGAGATGTCCTTGTTTGCAGCCTCACACTGCATTATTGTGCAGTGTTTCTRCACCCTGTAATAACAGCAAGGAAGTCTGTTACTTTGGAGCAATTACTCCTGAAAGTTTATATATTTATGTGGTCTTTGTGAGAATTTCTGCATGAACAGATAAAATGTTGTTTAATGAAGGGGAGGAAAAAAACTCGTATGGCAGATTTAGAGCAGCTTTTAATCAATTTTCTTCAAGTYAAACAGTTTGAAATTTACACTTCAGCCTCTACGTGAAATGCAGCAACGTCTCCCTTTAAYGGACATGATACATTAGTCTTCGTCTTGAGAAAAGTCTGGCATGTGAAATGGTTGCCTGTGTTTCAAGAGGAATTTCATCAATTCGCTCAAGCTGGTAAATCTCGTATCAAAGGAGATTTCCAAACCGTTTCAAGCATTGATCTTCCCGCTTTGCCCCGTAGCATACTAATGGGTTAATTTAGACCGGTTGATACACCGACACGACACTGTTTAATATTGCATGTGCTGTCCTGACAGCCTCCTGAAGTGTGGAAATCAAACATTGCATCATCCCACAGTCTGCTTTGCAGTCCACACATGAAAGCTCGGCTGTGCTAGSCTGAGATGCTCGATAATTCAAATACTCATCATGTCCTGACAAATTCCTTGGTGGTGGGTCATTTGATAGCATATCAAGTCAATCCTTTTTTTCTTTCTTTTTTTTACTGTGTACATCTCAGACTGATTTGCTTGAGGTGCATTTGCATTGTTTCATTTCAGATAAGTGGAGTTGTGTTCCTCTCTGACTAATGACACATCGTTCCCCCCCACCACAGCCACTGTGTCAGGGTCACCACTGCCCCCTGCAACAAACATAAAAAAAGTTGGCAGAGTTCAACTTGGTGCAGGCAGGTCAAGTCAAACATGAGTGTAATTGTTTCCAGATGCAGCGCAGGTCAGTGGTGTGAGGTGTCTGTGTGTGTGCTTCAGTATTACAATGAATGCACCAGAAAGTACCCACTTCCTGTATAAATCTGTCCCCCCCTCTCATTCCTCTGTGCCCTGGATTATATCATAACAAACACTCCATCAATGCTGAATTCTTTTCATATTACTTTGTAGGGAGATGTTTTTTTTTTTCAATACAATGTGAGTACAAAACATGCTATTTAAATATCTTTATGTATTTAAATTGGGCATAGACAATTAAATTTGTGCTTTTTTAAAAAACCAATAATTTTCATAAAGCTGCTTCTTCATATAACATCCACGCTGTATTGCTTAATAGCAGAGTTGTAAAGTAACCAAGTACACATACTTTGTGATTGTACTTAAGTAGAATGTTTGGGTATCTGTACTTTACTTGAGTAATTATTTTTCAGCCTACTTTTTTACTTCTACTTCTTACATTTTCACACATTTTTCTGTACATTTTACTCCTTATATTTTAAAAAAAGGCAAGACGTAGAAAGTTACTTTTTTTTTCATATTGCTTGTTTTTATTCCAGCTTGTTATTATAAAAAATATACTATCCATATAAATTGTGCCTCTTAGAAAAGAGTGAATTTAATTGTGATTGAATGAGAAGTATAAATATATAAAATTCTGATACTGTATTAGTTTGTACACAAACAAATCMTGTCACACTCCAGCAGGACATAATCATTAAAGTAAACGGACTGTACTTAATAAGTATTTGTATTTCATGAATTATATTATTACATTTKGCCGCAGCCCTCAGATAGATTTTCATTTTAGGGAAAATGTTTGTGCAGCCTTGATATATGTATATAAACTGAAACAGCTGAACTACTGCATCCTAAATTTAAAATTATTTTATCACAATATAGTCATTTCTACATTTTTGGTGAGGTCACCTCCTAATAATTGTCATTACAGAAACTCCAATTAATACTTTTACTTTTAATACTTAAGTACCAAAAACATCAGATACTTTAAGACTTTTACTCAAGTAATATTCCTAAAAGAGACTTTCACTTTTACCAAAGTAATTTTTTTGGTAAGATACTTGTCTTTTTACTCAAGTATCACTTTGTGGTACTTYATACAACACTGCTTAATAGGATAAAAGAGTCGTTGACACATGTTTTTAGGCATTTAAAGTCATAGAAACAATTGTTTTATGTTCATAACCTTTGAAAAGTGTGGTTGAAATAAAAAGGTCATGTTCTATAAGTGCCTGAGGTTAAATTTTGTAAATAACAACAATCCCCATCAGACTGCAACAACTTTTTCCTTCTCCTTTCCTCCAACACTTCGCCACATGCTCTCCCCACTGACAAGCCATAGATTTATTTCTTTAGGGAGGTTCAGACTGAGTGTTGTCGGGGCTTCAGGCAGACAGGATTACTGCAATATTTTAGTAACCCTTACACTGAGAAAGTAATCAACACTGCAAAGAGCTGGGGTGATTATTGAGTAAAGAAAGTCATGACGCAGGAGGCTAATTCTGCAGAGGTGGGGTATAAGAAAAGAAAAGGAAAAAAAACGGCAAAATAAATAAATAAATAAACACACCTCTGTTTGGCATTCCAAACACGGCAGCCAATTCACAGGAAACCAGCCTTGGGTTTATCTCTTTCACTTAATCGTCCATTCTCATGCAAATGGCTGACCCTCGCTGTAATGTACATTCTATAAGTGAAAAAAGAGATTTTCCAGCACATGGATTTTAAATAAAATCGATACACATCAGCTTTTAATCCCTGCTTTTTCATAACTGTTATAATGTTTTTATCAAACAGGACGTCAATGATTTCCTGTTTGTCTCTTCTGTTTTTGCACATTTTTTACATTTTGTTGTCGAAGGGTGTATTGGGGGTGTGTATGGGTGGGTGTGAGCGGTGGAAATAATCACCCCCTTGCAT